TGCTTTCACACCGGGTCATTAGGGACCTTGGTGAGTTCCCAAGGCTGGTCACCTGGGGTGGCAGGGGAGGAGAGGGAGCAGAAGGCGCTCTCCCTGTCCTTCCTTCCTGTCTGACCCTGCCTGCCGTTGTGGCCTGAGAAGCAGAGAGCCCATCTGGCCAGGGGAGGCGGGCCGGGCAGCAGGGAGAGGCCCCCGTTGCACTGCAGGCTGCTTTGGGCAGGGCCTGCGTGGATGGGGGACCCTTTGCCCAGACTTCTTGCACAGAACAGGTGGCAGCTGAGCGTGGAGTTTGAGACCTCTGCGCTCCGGGTCTTACGGCCACAAGTAGGGAGTCTTGTCGGAAACTGGCGTCTTTTTTTTTTTGGTCATCCAAAACCTTGGGAGATTAAAGGCCCTTACAGTCGTGCTTTCAGCACTGGGAGAAGGTTCCAGAACCTTTGGGGAGCCTCTCCCGACGCGACGCAGCACGGGGTCTCCTGGAGCTTGGGCCTCGTATCAGGCACACCCTTACCTGACGGCAGGCGCGCAGGTCCTGGGGCCTCCCCTAGGAAAGCAGGCGCCCCACACCCGCCTCAGGCCCTGGCCTGGCTCTGCCCAGGTGACAGGTGAGCTCCCGCCCAGTGCCTTCCCGGGTTGTCTTTGCAGGCACGTGGGTTGCTTTGTCCTTCTGTCTGTCCATGTGGGTCCAGTTTCAGGAGAAGAGTAAAACTAAATCCCACTGAGGCAGCTGCGGCCAGAGGGGACCCAGAGCCTGGGCAGGGAGCGGCCCTCTGCTGGGAAGGGATCGTGGGGTGCATCCCATCTGGGCATCTGGGGTGGAGGGCCTGGGCCCATGCAGGTGACGGGCAGTGGCCAACACACCCTGGTGTCCCCATGGGTTCTGGGGGTGGCATCCCCACCATGAGCAGCTGGCAGTGTGAAAGGCAGGTGACCTTGGTGACAGGACCTGGGGCTACTCCAGCCACAGGGGTGTGTGGGCCCCATGTGCAGCTGTGAGTTTCTTGTGGGCATGTCTGTGGCCAGCGCCGTGCCCTGGAGCTGGCGCGTGGCGGCCCCCCAGCCTGCATCCCTCCACTGCGCCATGGCGTCCCGTGCCTTAAGTCGCGTCTGGCCAGCTGCTTCTGAATGGCCTGCTCACGAATCCTGTGACTTCACGGTGTCGCTTGAGCGCGAGCCCTGCTGCTGCAGCACAGGCTTGGCCAGCAGACAGAGCAGGTGGGCAGCCGGGTGCTGTGGTGCTTTGCTTGCAGGGTGGGTCAGACCTGGCCCTGGGCCTGTTCCAGGAGAGGCAGGGCGCGAGTCACAGAGGCAGCTGGTGTGACAGTCGGAGGCTTGAGGTGGGCTTCTGAGGGACCGGCGTGTCCCCTCGAGAGCTTGTTCCTCCCTGACCCTGCTGCCTTGGGGCTGCACGCTCGGCCCCTCTGCAGAGAGCAGGTGCAGGGAAGGCGTCTCTGCCCCAGGACCGCCCCCTGGCCTTGCGCTGGCTGTCCTGCACCCTGCCCCTTGCTGGGGCTGCCCGTGGAGGCTGCACTGTGGCTGGGCTTCTTTGGGGCAGGTGGGGGGCCGTGGCCTCACTGGTCCTACGCCTCCTGGGGCGTCAGGGGCAGGCTGCTGTTCCTCTGCTGTCAGGCTCTCGTGGCCGCGCTCTTCCTGCGTCGGGGCCCCACTCGGCATGTGGCTGCAGGCGGCTCTGGCCAGTGGCGCTGCTCAGGGCTCTGGGAGGCGTGCTTGGCGGGCTGTTGGGCCTTTCTCCACGCGAGGAGCCCTCTGAGAGCCTACTGGGGCAGGGACAAGGGCCTGCAGAGGACAGCGGCCCACACGCGGAGGCAAGGCCAAAGCAGGACCATCTTGGGGACAGAGATCCAGGTCACGCATATTGGGCTCCCAGCCCAAGTCTCACTTTGCTGCTTTATTGTCCCCAGTGGGTGCCTTGGTCCTCGTGGGGCCAGCAGTGTCCCATCTACAGCTGTACTAGATGGACAACTGTCACTACCTGGGGTCGCACTGGGTCACACTGGACTGGCCCAGACTCCACGGCTGTCCCTGGGTGCTGTGGCCACCTGCCTAGGTAGCTGAGTGTCTACTGCACAGGTACAAGCGCAGGGCCCTGGGTGCGCAGGCCTGCAGGGGGCCGCGCAGACTGCCCAGCCCCATCTGGGTATGATTTCCCCACCGGAAGCTAATGACGCGGCCACACTCCCCAAGGGTGACTCCACTGCTGTCCCACATGCTGGTGGGGACTGCACAGGACTGTCCGTCTCAGTGACTGCAGCACGTGTCCCAGAGGGTCGGGAGCCTGACGAGGCTTGGGGGGCTGCAACACGGGTTGGGGGGTCCTGGATGAAAACAGTGTGACCGGCCCGTGGGCTTCTCTCACCGGGCACCTGCCGAGGCCGCCCTGAGGATTCCGGAGAGGCTGAGGCCCTAAAGGCCACCCCTGCTGCTCCCGAAGGCCTGACCCTCGCTTGGGGCTCTCTGCGTCCCCAGGCCAGCCAGGAGGTGGTGCGGCAGCCGTCAGCAGGCTCTGGCGTGTGGCTGGCCTGCCTCCTGAGGAGGGTGCCATCTTTGTGCTTGCCGAAGGGCCTTGCTTTCTAGAACCTTCAGACCAAAGCCAGGCCACAGGTCTGTGGCCCTCACCCTGTTGCTCAGCTGCTTGGCACTGGACGGTGACTGCCACATGCCTGCCCCCACAGGCTGTACCCCTCCCTGGGGCCACCAGGCCCTGCCTCCTCCCGCCGTTTCCTTCTCGGGTACAGAACCCACGGGGACACGTTTGTGTGGGTGCTCCCGGCGGCCACCACCCTGTGAGGCAGCTCCCAGGACTGCTGCAGATAGGCTCGCACCAGCAGCTCCTCCAGGGGGTGCAGCCGTGGGCAGAGGGCAAGCCAGAAACTGGGCCAGCCTTGGCCGCTGAGGGGCTGGCCGCTGCAGGCCGGGACGCGCTTGGCGGAGCGTGCCGGCGCGCACTCGGGCGCACAGGTGCTTTTTCTAATTACTAAAGGAAAAGCAATTGCAGAGCTGCTCCATACAAATCCCTTAAGCCGCTGCTGATGGTGGCGCCAGCAAGGCCGCGGCCCAGCCAGGAATCCGAAACCCAGGCGCCATCTGCGCTCCCGCCACTGCAGCCAAGTCGCGGCCGGCTCTCCGCGGGCTTCATGAAATGAATTGAGTTTTCTGGGAATCACTTGGCCAAAAATACTCCCTCCTGTCGGCATGGCTGGGTCCCTTTCTGATCCCAAAGCCCTGTGCCACGTCCAGCCTGAGGCACTGTGGCTGCCCCTGGGGGGTGGGCAGAGCTGTGGGGGTTCCAGACGGCCGCATCCCCAGAAGCATCCCATCTGGAGCCATGGACTCCGTCTGTGGGGAAAGCAGGGGGTCTGGGAGGCTCCTTGGAGGGGCACGGCTGCTCCTGCTCGGTTCCACCCTCCCTCTCTGTGCCTGTCCTTCCACCGCGTACGGTGTAGTGACAGCGCGGGGTCTTGAAAGCAGGAGAGCCCCGAGGCTGCCCCTGGGAAACTGGCCTGTCGTCTGACAGGGAGGCTGCAGGTTCCACGTGGGCTTTCAGGGCAGGGCAGAGGGCAGAGGGCTGCTTGTGTACCCAGATCCCTGGGCCTCTGCCTCCCCAGAGCTGGGGCAGCCTGGCAGCAGCACACCCTCCCCAGCCCTGAGCACCTACACAGCCCTCAGCCTCAGGGGAGACGTCCAAGGATGCTCCAGCCGCCTGCGCTGGACCAGGAGTCAGCAGGTCACGGCCCTACCCTGCGGCCCATTGCCTGGTCTTTGTAAATAAAGTTTTATTAGCACACAGCCTTGCCGAGTCTTTTGCCTGTGCACACTGTCCTGATGCTTTTGAACTCCAGTGGCAGACAGAAGTCAAGAGCTGAAGGTCAAGGCCAGCAGTGTCCCACCTGCAACTGGCCCTGCCCTAGAGCGTGGTCACCTCCCTCCGCCTCCCTCCCTCTCACAGTTGGGCCCCCCCACCGTCTCCTGGTCAGTAACTGGGAGACCAGGGCCCTGGCTGCTCGTGGTCCTGGCCAGGACTTTGCAGAGAGCCAGGAAGCAGCTGCAGTAGCCTCCACGGTCACTCGGGCCTGGCTTCTCTGGCCCCAAGTGCCCCAAGGCTGAGTGTTGCCTGATCACTGCTGCTGTGGAGGCCACGCCCTGAGGACAGTGGGTGGGGAGGCGCAGCTCTCGGTCTCTGTCCTCATGTGGTCTGAGCTTACCCTGTCCTGGGCAGAGTTTGCCGGAGTCCAGCAGGCAGCCCTCTGTGCCTGTCCTGCGTGTGGCGGGGCATCGCCGACCGTAGTGAAGGCCCCCGCGCCCCAGCTCCCTCTCTGGCAGCCCCTCCCTCAAGCCCCGTGAGCAGCGGCTCCCTGGTGAGGGTGACCCTTGGTGAGGCCCAGGGGAGGTGGCCTCCCCCTGGGAATGCACCCTGTGCTTGGCCCTCACCACTCCTGCTCGTTGGGGCTGCCGACTGCCACCCTCTCCCTCCGGCTTGGAGAATGCTCCCTGGTCTCTGTCTGCCTGGGGCGCAGCTGAAGGAGGGAGATTTCTGTTTGGAACCGAGAGGCAGAGCTGGCCTCAGCTGGTCGCCTCAGCTCCTCCGCTGGCGGTGGTGCGCAGCTCTGACGCCTCCGCCAGCCTGGGCCTGTGCTCAGCCCCTCTGGCGGTTGCCAACAGCCGCGGTTCCTGCAGCCTGAGAAGGGGGTGGTCACGCTTCTCCCTGGGGAAGAAGCTGCCACCTTCCACTGACAGGGCCGGGTGGAGGACGGCCCTGGGCCTCTGCCGGGCCGGGCGAGGCGGGTGCTGCCCGTGCCTCAGGCGTCTGTCTCCCCACAGTGCACCTGCCGCAAGGACATGGTGAAGATCTCCATGGACGTGTTCGTGCGCATCCTGCAGCCCGAGCGCTACGAGCTCTGGAAGCAGGGCAAGGACCTGCCGGTGCTGGACCACACACGGCCCACGGCCCTGAGCAGCCCCGAGCTCAGCTCCTGGAGCGCCTCCCGCGCCTCACTGAAGGCCAAGCTCCTCCGCAGGTGGGTCCAGGGGCTGCCCGTCACCCCGTCACTGGTGGGGACAGGGAGTGCTCCAGACCACTTCCCACCGGCTACGGCTCGGTCCGTCCTACCTTCTCCTGCCTCGGAGTGGAGCAGGTTCCGCCACCTGCCCAGCTCCTGGGGGGCGCTGCTCGGGCCACTCGTCTCCCCTGGAGCGCCCACGCTGTGTCCCCCGCTCTTCCTGCCTTAGCCTGTGGCGTGAGGGCACTTAGGACCCTGGTGGGTCGAGAGCTGGCAAGTCCTGGGCAGCATTCCCAGTGCCCAGGGGTCAGAGTCCCCCCCCGCCCCCCCCGTCTCTGAGACCGCGCGCCGTGGGTGAAGGTACTTCTCCCGCGTGAGGTCCTGGAGGTGACTGCTGAGGCGCAGTCCACGGGGATGGCCCTGGGGACTCCAGCTCCACCTCTCAGCAACCCTGGGGTCCCCGCTCCCCTCAACAGCATGGTCCCGCCCAGCGTGGTGGGCCCCGCACCTCTCCTGGCCAGGGACAAGGCAGGTCTGATGAGGACTCAGCCCAGGGCTCGCGTGGATCCGAGCTGTCCAGGCAGCATCCAGGCCTCCGGGGCTCTGAGCTGCTTACAGACACGTCCGTCCCTTCATCTTTGGCCCCAAGGAAGAGTCAGCAGCCACCGAGTGTGAGCTGGAGCCTGGGGACGGCACAGGGCCCCGGGCCAGGCGTTCAGGACCTTGGCCCCGGCAGTCTCTGGCCCATCTCCTCAGCTCCCCAAGTGGCCCAGGGCCACTTGGACGGCAGACCTTCAGTGAAGGCCGCATATGGCTCGTCCTGCGCCTGTGCCCACCTCGCTGTGGCTGGCCCTCGCGATCCTCACTTGCTGTGGGACGTGGTGGTTTTCTGTTTTTGGAACCACTTATAACTATAAGCCCGTCTTGAGGGTGGCCGCACCCAAGCGGGCAGTGCTCTGGCCTTTGGACCTGGCTTGGAGGCCGCCTCCCTGCCCAAGGGTCACTGGCTGCTCCATCAGCAGCTGCTGGTCACTTGTGGCTTGACCCAGCCGGGGCCCAGCCACCGAGCAGGGTGGGGCCGCTCGGCCTCCCCACCGTGGAGCCGGCCTCCGAAGCGGCATCTGGAATCAGTGGTGCGGGCCAGAGCGCCCCCCGCTGGCCACCCTCGTTCTCAGCACATCCCGTCTGTGTCTGTCCACCTGAGTCTGCGTCGAAGGCAGTTTCGGCCTCTGGTGGCGAGTGTTGAGTCTGTTCTGGAATGTTCTCCGGCTCCTCCTAACAGCCTCCTGGCCTGCAGGTGGGCCATCCTTTCTGGGTTCCTTTGGTGTCTGTCCTTTTGATTTCCTGCCCTCAGCCTTCTCCAGAAAAAGCCACTTGGTACTGAGGCTGTCAGGCTCTGTCGGCTCCCGCCCAGCAGGCAGCAGGCAGCAGGCAGCAGGCAGCGGGCAGCAGCTCCCGCCCTGGACGGGCTATTTGCATAATGGTTAATTGATTGTGGCTCAGGCTAATTGGTCAACAGAGCGGATTGCCAATAAACAGGCGCCGCATTCCAGGAGCAGGATGGGATTAGAGGCTGTCTAAGAGCCTGCCAAGAGGAGGCCAGGCCCGCCGCCCCAACTCCAACCCGCCACAGAGGAAGTGGCAGGCGCAATAGCACCCGCACCCTTCTGCCTGCCGCGGCCCCTTCCTAGGCATGAACTGCTCTTTCCTGGAGCAGCCTTCCTGAGCCTTCCTCCCCTCCTCCCTCGTCCCAGCACCCGGGAGAGCTGTAAGGAGCGGACGGGCTGGTGACAAGTCATGTCCCCGGGGTGTGACTCCTCTGCGCCTTCAGTCTGTGCAACAGGCCGGTTCCTCCTCCGCTTCGGAAGCCAGGGCTTTTGTGGGAGGCTGATTGGCGAGTCCAGTTTGAGAGCCCAGGCGCGGCCCACCTGCCCTCAGCCTTGGGACCCTCCCTGTGACCGTCCTCTGCCCCCGTGCCTCGTGTCCTGGCGGCCCCTGAGCTTCTGCAGGTGTATTTGGGCTGGCAGCCCAGCAGCCATCCTCAGCTGACGTCACGGTGGACTGACGTGTCCCTCAGGCAGGGCCTGTGCACACTGGGCCGGTGGTGGGTGGTTCTCAGGGGCGTCCTGGCCTCTGCAGGGTGCGGAGCAGCCTCCTTGGCCTCCGCCTTGCCCTCCCCTTGGGCACCAGCAGGGTCCCCGGCTGGAGCCGCTGTGTGGGCGCCCCCCCATGAGAGGCCACCCCTGGCCGCAGCCAGCCGGTCTGTGCTGGGAAGGCCAGTGGCCCCTGCCCGGTCGCCTACCACAGGTTTGTCTTCCACAAGAGATCCTGTCAGCTGAGTTGACCTCCCCCCGTCAGGGCTACTTGTATATTTTTCTGTGACAAATAGGACACATGGAACTGCACAGGCAGCTTCCTGTGGCCAGGCTCGCGCTCTGGTGCTGCACCGAGCTCCTCCTGAGCTGCCCACCTGCCTTCGGCTCCAGCAGGCCCCTGGGTGAGCCACCAGGAAGCAAGGTGGGGACCATGTGTCCCCACCCAGAGCCCAGATGGAGCAGTCTCCACCACCAGCCAAGCGTGGCCATGATGTCCCAGCTCCTGGCTCCTACCCCGCCATGCCTGGACACCTCCAGACGCCTCAGTCTGGAAGGTGAAGAGCCACTGTGAGCCCGGGGGTGGCCACCTGCTGCCTGGCTTGTCCTCGTCCCCAAACCACTGGGGACACCACCACACTGTCAGGCCCCTGCCAAGCCCGTTCCCACAGACGACACACCCCTGCCAGTCTCCAGAGGACCCATAGCCCCCTTGGTGACAGGCCGTCTCACGGGTGTCCACTTCCTCCTGCCAGCTGAGGTCCAAGGGGTGCGCCTCCGTCTTGCAGGTGTCGGGACCACAGTTGGACTGAGCCCAGGCCTTGGTTGGAGCAGCCAGCTGGGCCTGGGAGGCTATGCCCACCGGGGCAGTGGGAGCAGGGACGGGAGCTGCTGTGGGGTCTGACTTCAAGGACAGAGGGTGGTGGCAGTGCCGGGGGGGGCGGGCGGCCTGCCATGGGCGGGCAGGAGGGGCTGGCCAGTGTGGGGGCTATGGGACCGCCCCCTGGGCCCCTGCAGCCTGTGGCTCCCGTGCCTGCACCACCTGGTCCCCATGGAGGACGGGCAGCTCTGGGCAGGAGGGAGGAGGCCAGGAGGCGAGGGTCCCGCGGAGGGTCCCGCAGAGGGCAGGGCGCTGCCCTCCCGCCATCCGGCAGTCTTCAGAACCCGCTCAGCCCCGAGCGCGGTGCAGGCCCTGGCTCAGGAGGGCCACCAGCCGCCTCCAGCATGCCTGGGGAAGCCTGGGCCCGCCAGGGTCAGGACGGGGACGGGGACGGGGAAGCGGGTGCAGCAAGACGCAGAGCCCTCCTCTGCCTGGAGCAGGTGGAGAGGGAGCTGGACGCAGGCCCGCCTGGGCACCGCCCTGCTGGGGGTTCAGGAAGGGCAAGAAGGGCCCAGCCCCACTTCACATCGCCACCTTGGGGGCTGCTGGCAGGGGCAAGGGGGTGACGCTGTGCAGTCATGGAGCAGCCCGCAAAGACAGGGCCTCCACATCAGAGGAGGACCCCTCCCAGAGACGCCACTGGCCGCAGACCAGTCAGACCTGGGAGGAGCATGGCCCGTCCCTCCCCTCAGGGGGCTCTGTGGGGTCAGTGAACCCACGCACCTGTGGCAGGAGAGCCAGTGCCCTGGGGCCACCTGTTGCCCCTGAGGTGCCGGGGACACTTGGCACTCAGAGAAGGGGTCCTCAGCCCCTGGACCAGCGTGGTAGGGTCTTAGGAGGCCCACGGGGCCTAATGTCTGCGCCCTGTCTGGGAAGGTGAGGGGTCCTGAGGAGGAACGGCCACCGGAGGAGAGGCGGGAGAGAGTGGCGGAGGGGCCACAGGTGCCAGCGCCCCGCCCATACCAGGGCCATTGCCGGGCACCCGGCTGTTCCCTGGTGTCGCTCCCAGGTGGAGGCCGCGCCTGCTGCAGTGGGCAGTTGGTGTTCTCTGGGTGTGGGGCCTGGGGGCCAGCAGGGGAGCTGCCCAGGGCTGTCCTGGGCCGCAGCTCTGGGAGGCCGCCTGTGGCTCGAGGGCCTAAGGGGCCCTGGGTCCTCCATGGAGGGGAGGGACCTCCAGGGTGGGGACAGGGACTGCCCTGGAGGCTGGTGCAAGGAGCCCAGGGCGGGTGAGGAGGTAGGAGGCCGCCTGTGAGTGCTGCCTGGGTCGCAGGGGACCGCACCTGAAGCCCAGCCCTGCAGCGGGACACAGTCGGACCCCAGGACCAGCCCGCTTTGGTGGCAGCTGGCGCCTCAGTGCCAAGCCCCAGACTCCATCCCTGAGCTGCGTTCCCAGCCCCAGGCTGCCTGGAGGTGGTGCTGCCCTGCTGGAGAGGCCCGGTCCTCGCTCCTCCCTGTCGGTCTCCCTGCTTCCTCCCCACCTGCCTGTGCTCCCTGTGGCACCCCTGTATGCCCCACGTGTGTGACGCCCCCTGTGACGCTTCTCCCTGTGTCCCATCTGGAATGCTTCACCTGCTTCTGCTGCTGGTCATCTCGTGGGGTTCATGCTGCAAACGTCGAGTGGTCTCTCTGGGCTCAGGGACAAGCAAGAACAGGCCCGGGGCTGGCAGGGTGCCGTGGTTCTAATTAGGAAGAGGAGAGTCAGCAGGGGTCAGTGACATAGGGACGGGGACTGCTGGCAAGGGGGCCAGCTGTCTTAGACAGGACTTAGGATGGCCGTGGTTCCGTCCAGCTGCAAGTGGGTTTCAGCCAGTGAGACTCAACTGTGGGGAGGGGCAGCCAGGAAGTCCAGTGGGGCCCAGGGAAGCCACATGGCCACATACGGAGCCCTGGGGGACAGGGCCGCAGGTGTCTCCACCTGCTGGAGAGCATTAGTGACCCCCCAGGCCTTGGCTTCTGCCCCAGCTCCTGGTGAGGGGACAGTTTGGGAAGCCACGCCCCTCATCAGTCTAAGGCAGCTCTGTCCCCAGCCTGGAAAGGCCTCAGCCTCTCACAGGCAGGCCTCCTCCTCTGCCACTGCACCTGTCCTCCTGTTGACCCCGCTCCCCCTGGGACAGCCTGCTGGCCTCAGCTTGAGCTCATCGCCAGGGCCTCCCCGTGGGCCCCAGGTCCGTGGCGTGTCCCTGTGCCAGGGCTGGGCATGGGGCTGGGCTTTCCTTCTGGCCGGGCCCTGGCTGGGAAGGAGCCTTGCATGGGCGAGCTGGGAGACCCTGGATGTCCGTGGGACTGTAGAGAGGGGACCCAGAGAGTGGGGGGCATGCTCAAGGTGAAGCCCCCAGCAGAGCATCCTGGGGAGCCCCGCAGAAGCACTAGAGAAAAACGCCCTGAAATTTACCTTCTAGACAAATTAGTGTGAAGGAAAACAGACCCTGGAGAAAGACTGAGGAGGAGAGGAGGCCGAGTCTAGAGAGGAGGAAAGAGCAGACCAGGAAGCCGGGGCTGGCGTAAGTGCACCCCTGTCCCCGGCCGTCCCCGCGTCTCACGCGGCCGCTGTCTCCATGAGTCTGCACCCTGTGTCTCCCGCCCCACGCGCTCGCTCCACCCATTCCATCGTCCTCCGGGTGTTGGGCAGCATCCCACCTCCAGCTGCCGGCCGCCCTCCCTCCTCAGCCCAGCAGGCCAGGCCTCCCTGCCTCCCGCCGCCCAGGTGGGTGGGCGGCCTTCTGCCTGTGTCCGCCCCTCCTGCCTGACGCGCCTCCTTCTCCAGGTCGCATCGGAAGCGGACTCAGCCCAAGAAGCCCAAGGCTGAAGACCCCAAGTCTCCAGAGGAGGGAGCCACCGCGGCAGCCCTTCTGGAGGAGGCTGGAGGCTGTGTGAAGGAGGAGGCCGCACAGGAGGCCGACCCAGAGGAGGAGGAGGAAGAGCTGCAGCCGCCCCAGGGCCTTCTGCAGGATGCCGAGGGCACCGAAGGTTAGTGTAGCCCGTCACCCTGGCATTGGGGCAGGCCACCCAGCCCCGCTCCCTGTGTCCTGGAAGGAGCTGGCAGTTCCTCTGCCAGGCGCCTGATCCCAGGGGCCCGGCCCGCAGCGTCTCACTGGGCACATTTTATGAAAGTGCCCTTCTCCCCAGGAGACACGTGGGCTGTGAAATCTTCATCCATGAGCATTTTAAAGGCCCCTTCTAATGTGCGGCGTCGCCCTCCTGCCCCGTCGCTGGGTTCCTGCTCCCAGCTCACGCCTGTGTTGGCGCATGTGCACGTGGCGCGTGCCCCTGGGAAGGAAGGGAGGGCAGCCCTCCCTCCCTGAGCCTTCCTGTGCACAGGTCCCGGTGGGGCTGCTTGTCAGCAGGTCCCAGGGCAGAGGGCTGCATGGGCAGAGTGGTCCCGGCATTGCTCCCTGGGGCAGCGGGACAGGAGGGTCAGCCGCCCAAGGCAAG